CAACCTCCGAAGAAAGCTTAACGATATCCACGAGTCGGTTCGTCTGCACGCGCAGAGCTAGTGACAGTATTGAAGAAAACTACGACATCAAGGCTACAGCAGGTGGTTACCAAACTGGAGATCTTGTTTGGTTGTATAATACTCGTCGTCGCCGTGGACTATCACCTAAGTTCCAACAGAATTGGGAAGGACCCTATGAGATAGTGAAGAGAATTAACGACGTGATCTGCCGAATTAAGAAAACTCCAAATGAGAAGCCGAAGGTAGTCCATTTTAATCGCTTGGCTCTATTCGCCGGTGCAAATGAAGAGGAAGCGCGGGCTAGATTATTAACAACTATTCCTTCCGAGCCCACATTCGAAGAGTTCATGAAGGAAGGCCCCGTGTTAACAGGAGATTTGGAGTGTTTCAAGAAATCCCACGAGACCTCTTTACTATATCTTAGGAATATCGAAACATCCTTAAAGAGGGGGCAGTGTAGTGAGCATGAGTGTGTTTGTGTGCGATAGGGCATACTTGTGCGTGAACGGCTTATCGATTCGCCGACTAGTCGCGGGTGCTTTTCCTCATGTGCGCCGTATTTCTAAATGTGTGTGTCGTACCTGCATTCTGGGAAAGCAGTTAAACAGTTCAAAGCAAAATAAACTATCCGGATGTTTTCAGAAGGTTCCCGAAAGTAAACAAAAGAGACGATCATCGAGAGAAGAAGAAATAAATTGACCATTGCAGAAGTGAATCGAGAAATAAATTGACAGTGATAGCAGTGAAATTAATAGCGCAGTAACAGTAAAGTAAATAAATGGAATAATTTATAACCTAAGTTTAGTAATAATGTAATCGTGTTTTTAAGTTCTTTAATAATTAGTGTAAATAAATAGTTTTTTGTAGTTATCAGTCTTAGAAGTTAATTTTGTTAATCCTACGAACATTTCAATAAAACAACAGTTAGATGCAGCCGATATTGACACTTTTTAATTTGTATTCCGAAGATGTGAACAATACTATTAATAGGACAGCTTTAGGGTTGGACATGCAGGGACAAAAAAATAGCATGCTTAGATTTGCTGATAACTACAAAAA